TTCAACTAAGAATGTCAACGTGTTCTTGTAAATAGGATACGTACATATCAATAAGGAAATAGGTAAAGCTTTTTTTTTGTTTTACATATATAAATGTAACACATTTTTGTAGTATATGAAGTATTACAAAATAGTTATTAATTATTAGTATTTAAAATTGTTATTTATTATTTTAATGATTATAATATAAGATTATATTTAATTGATAAATCAAATTTAGTAAGTCACGATGGTACACTGATGTCTGTTATTAAATTGTATTTGTATTACATATATATGATGTTGAAACATTATCCACATCTTAGCATTAAATAAAGTATGATCTAATATAAATAGTAAACTCCTAAATGAAGCTGAATTAGCACTATGTATGACAATACATTATCCAGTTATCTAGATATTATGTCCTTTTACAACCTGTGATAATCAAGTAATCCATAAGTCCAGAAAACACAAAACACTCTATCCAAGATGCAGAAGCTCGGATGCTGAATCGGCATAGGTCATCAGGTCGATTGTCCCAGTCTGGTAACGGTCCTTCAAGGTGGCCAGGCGTCTGTCAATGTTGGCGTATTTCTTCTTCCGGGGTTGAATGATGCCTCCTGCGTCTCTCTGAATCCGGCTGATGTCGTTCATGTTCTGTATGTCCTTAAACGTCTGGATGATGGTGTAGATGTTGGGGTGGGCATGCAGTACCTTCTTCAGTTTTCCGTGCCAAGCTTCCAGATGGTTAGTAGTCCGGGGTCCCTCGGTTGAGAAGTGGTTCCAGGTGGTACGATCTCCCTCTATCCATTGTGTGCAGCTACCTCAAAATCGACGAAGGCTGTAGTGGGTCGGAATGGAATGTCGAAGTGTGCCATGTGATCCTGGAGAAGGGTGAAGAAACGGCTGTAGATTGCCTGGCTCTTTACGGGAAGTAATGCGTATACGACTGGTGTCATGATGCCTTCATTCTGTACATGGACGCTGTAAATCTGATGAAACATTGTTGGACAGTTGTAGAAAGTTCCATCACAGAAGAAGGTGTCAGATGCTGCAAGTTCGGCCAGGTTCTCCGACGAAGCGAATGCGATCATCCTGTTGTTCTGTTCACCGTCGTCAAAGAGGAGAAATGGTTCGCCTGTAGATGCTTCTGTCCATCTTCCATCCAAGGTGATGTCGGCCAAAGTCTTTGGTAGTGGAGGAGTCTACTTGCGGCGAGCACGGTAAAGAGACAATTTCGCTGTGTAGAATGTTGGTATTCGCTGGACCACGGCCTTGGAAGTGTCATCCCAGTCGTTGTCTCGGAGTTGATTGAGCTCTTCCTCAAAGATGGACGGAATAGGCTGGACCGATTATACGCATTTGTTGGTGATCTGGTTCATGATCTGTTTGGCTACAGCACTGGCTGGGTCTGAGGCGTGGGTGTGTGGATTTCTTCCGAAGTTAGCTGGTATGTTGTCGATTGTCGAGAGTGATGCTGAGCAGCCTTAGGTCGAACATCTCCAGAATGTCCTGCTGCCGTTCTTTCGAATCTGTTTGAAGATGAATCCATTATGTGAAAGGTTCTGTCCGCCTCTTCTGTTGGTGATGAACTTAACGTTGATCTGAGCATTAGCCATACTGTCCTTGTATCAAACAACAAAGATAATAATATCAATCAAATTAAACACAATTTACATAAAAACTGAGAGAAAATACTAGATTAACTAATATTTGACAAAAGTTACAATTTACACAAAAACTGAGAGAAAATACAAGATTAACTAATATATATATGACTAAAGTTATGATTTGACAATATATATCTGTGACAAAAGTACAGTAATAAATCAAGCAATGATTGAGATATTGATCTTTCAAAGTGCAGATTGAAATATGATAATTTCCCAAAATGAACTTGGCTTTTATACATTTCCCATTGAATAGCTTGGGATTTAAACAGATTTAACACAGATATTTGATTCCTTTATTTTACAGTTATTAACAGTTTTTCAGTTTTCTGAACAGTTATCAGAATCAGAACTTAATCATCTGATTTACCTGTTTTCTAAATAGTTATCAGAATTTACCTGTGCAAGTTACCTGTACTACAATTCTAAAACAGCTTATAATCCACTATCATCACAGTTGACCCCCCCCCCCCCCCTATAAGTTGTTTTCTTTGTTGTTTTCTGTGTTTTGATATGTCCGTATTTTCTTTGTTATTTTCTGTGTTTTGATATGTCCGTATTTTCTTTGTTGTTTTCTACCCTCGATATAAACTATTTTTATTTGTGAAGATATGCACGTTTTTCTTTTCTCTTTTCATTTTGACTTGTGCCTCTCGTCAATGTTTTGGCAAATGCACCTTACAAACTCAACAAAATACACGAATGTCTATTTTAATAAACAAAAGGGAAATTAACTCTAGATGTTTTACTTTCCTCGTTTGGTCAAATTATCTCAGTCTGTAATGGTGACAAGTGATTTCCATATATCATTTTCTATTTACAGAAACGTCAACATGAGGAACCTGTGGACATTATTTGTCATTTTAGTCGTCGTTGTTTTGGTGTGTGTACTTCTTTTTCGCAACATCCAAGTACCACAGCAACTGAAAGTTGATTTCGCGATCAAAGACGCCAAACAGACACCAGAAGATAAACGATCCATAGATGATATTAAGCTGAAGGTATAGTTTTATAGAGAAAAAACAAATAAGAATATTTGCTATTGTACTTGTAAACAACACGTCTGCCGTACGAGTTTTTCCTCTTGCCAGAGGTCTGGAGGACTAAAATGTTGCATAATTGTATCTATGAAGTGATAGTAGATATTTGTTCTTTGATTTTATTGCCTGTAACAGAGTTGATGAACCGCAAAAACGTCGATTGATTTATCGTGTTATTTGCCTTCAGTCTGTTGTTGTCACGTGAGTTGGACCCGATACTGCACCTCCTAGCCTGCACGATATGACATAGTTGGATTTATCGTGTTATTTGCCTTCAGTCTGTTGTTGTCACATGAGTTGGACCTGATACTGCACCTCCTAGCCTGCACGATATGACATAGTTGGATTTATCGTGTTATTTGCCTTTCTGTTGTGGTGACATGAGGTGGACCCGATACCACACCTCCTAGCCTGCACGATATGACATAGTTGGATTTATCGTGTTATTTGCCTTTCTGTTGTGGTGACATGAGTTGGACCCGATACCGCACCTCCTAGCCTGCACGATATGACATAGTTGGATTTATCGTGTTATTTGCCTTTCTGTTGTGGTGACATGAGTTGGACCCGATACCGCACCTCCTAGCCTGCACGATATGACATAGTTGGATTTATCGTGTTATTTGCCTTTCTGTTGTGATGACATGAGTTGGACCCGATACCGCACCTCCTAGCCTGCACGATATGACATAGTTGGATTTATCGTGTTATTTGCCTTTCTGTTGTGATGACATGAGTTGGACCCGATAGAGCTCCTAGCCTGCACGATATGACATAGTTGGATTTATCGTGTTATTTGCCTTTCTGTTGTGATGACATGAGTTGGACCCGATACCGCACCTCCTAGCCTGCACGATATGACATAGTTGGATTTATCGTGTTATTTGCATGAGTTGGACTTTCTGTTGTGTTGGATGACATGAGTTGGACCCGATACCGCACCTCCTAGCCTGCACGATATGACATAGTTGGATTTATCGTGTTATTTGCCTTTCTGTTGTGGTGACATGATTTATCATGAGTTGGACGCACCTCCTAGTGCACGATATTTCTGTTGTGGTGACATGAGTTGGACCCGATACCGCACCTCCTAGCCTGCACGATATGACATAGTTGGATTTATCGTGTTATTTGCCTTTCTGTTGTGGTGACATGAGTTGTGGTGACATGAGTTGGACCCGATACCGCACCTCCTAGCCTGCACGATATGACATAGTTGGATTTATCGTGTTATTTGCCTTTCTGTTGTGGTGACATGAGTTGGACCCGATACCGCACCTCCTAGCCTGCACGATATGACATAGTTGGATTTATCGTGTTATTTGCCTTTCTGTTGTGGTGACATGAGTTGGACCCGATACCGCACCTCCTAGCCTGCACGATATGACATAGTTGGATTTATCGTGTTATTTGCCTTTCTGTTGTGGTGACATGACCCGCCGCACCTCCTAGCCTGCACGATATGACATAGTTGGATTTATCGTGTTATTTGCCTTTCTGTTGTGATGACATGAGTTGGACCCGATACCGCACCTCCTAGCCTGCACGATATGACATAGTTGGATTTATTTGACTTTAATGCTTCTACTTATTTGTACTGAAAGGTGTTATATACCTGTGTATCTTGTGTTTGTTGAGAATGGAGATAAATATATGGTAGTATGATATATGTATACTTTATTGGAGGATGTTTGGATATGGCATATTGTTGGCTTTTTCCGCTTAAACGAGAGCTCTTGATTATCAATGAAAATCCAATCTCAATTTACTTGTTTTAAAAGGGTTGTGCAAAAAAGACAAAGACTTTTGGACTTTCAAAAGAAATTCAGTGAAAAAGAAATATTTAGTGCATGCAATACACTAGATAAAAATGTACCATACAGTCCCCCCGTCTATCTTCCTTAGGATTGGTCAGTAAATCTTGATGCTTAAGTCTTCAAAACGAGGACGACTTTAGACAATCAAACTTAACCAAAATAAACGCATGAATATAGATGGTGAAGTACAATAACATTATCTAATCAATTTCAAAAGTCTTTCACACAGAATGATTTTAAAAGAATATTGATTACGTTGGGGATATTCCAATCCGTAGCACTAAATCAGGTAGGATTTATTCAGGAAACACGTTGTAAGTTTACTTCAGTTTTTGTTAATTGTAAATCAGGCGGAAAGATTCAAGGATTCCATCCTCGAAACGGAATTGCGTCTGGATACTGCACAAACGATTAACCCTTCGAGCTACCAGGGAATCCGTAAGATAATCCAGGGAGCCCTCAGGAATGTCGACGACACAAGTCTTGCTAGGATGTCACTGGAAGAGATTGCCGAGCTCTATCACAGGTTTGGAATCACATCACATAAATAATGACAGCATCACCGTAGGAAGGAAATATGTCACGACCTATTGTTAGTGATATCACACTAAAAATATCTCATTAGTCGGTACAGTACAAGATACAAATATATTAGCCAGCACTTATCAAACAATAATTGTCTTTCTATTATACTTATTAAACTTATGTGTATTCAACCGCTCGTCAATCTGTCATTTAGAATTCTCGTCTTGTATATTGTAAATTAATTTTCATATATCTGAATTTTTTGTGTAATATAATAGCTTCAGTAGTGTATGGAATGTTTATCTACTTTAAGCCTTATAACTTATTAGTATCTGATTATGTACACATACTGCTGTGTATGTTGTACGTGGACAATATGTACACATACTGTTGTCTGTTGTGTATGTTGTACGTGCACAATATGTACACATGCTGCTGTCTATGTTGTACGTGTACAATATATACACATACTGCTGTCTGCTGTCTATGTTGTACGTGTACAATATGTACACATACTGCTGTCTGCTGTCTATGTTGTACATGTACAATATGTACACATACTGCTCTCTGCTGTCTATGTTGTACGTATACAATATGTACACATACTGCTGTCTGTTGTGTATGTTGTACGTATACCATATGTACACATACTGCTGTCTGTTGTGTATGTTGCACGTATACAATATGTACACATACTGCTGTCTATGTTGTACATGTACAATATGTACACATACTGCTGTCTGCTGTCTATGTTGCACGCGTACAACATGTACACATACTGCTGTCTGTTGTGTATGTTGTACGTATACAATATGTACACATACTGCTGTCTATGTTGTACATGTACAATATGTACACATACTGCTGTCTGTTGTGTATGTTGCACGTGTACAATATATACACATACTGCTGTCTGTTGTGTATGTTGTACGTATACCATATGTACACATACTGCTGTCTGTTGTCTATGTTGTACGTATACCATATGTACACATACTGCTGTCTGCTGTCTATGTTGTACGTATACAATATATACACATACTGCTGTCTGTTGTGTATGTTGTACGTGTACAATATGTACACATACTGCTGTCTGATGTGTATTTTGCACGTGTACAATATGTACACATACTGCTGTCTGCTGTCAATGTTGTACGTATACCATATGTACACATACTGCTGTCTATGTTGCACGTGTACAATATGTACACATACTGCTGTCTATGTTGCACGTGTACAATATGTACACATACTGCTGTCTGTTGTGTATGTTGTATGTATACCATATGTACACATACTGCTGTCTATGTTGCACGTGTACAATATGTACACATACTGCTGTCTGTTGTGTATGTTGTACGTGTACAATATGTACACATACTGCTGTCTATGTTGTACATGTACAATATGTACACATACTGCTGTCTGCTGTCTATGTTGTACATGTACAATATGTACACATACTGCTGTCTGTTGTGTATGTTGTACGTATACCATATGTACACATACTGCTGTCTATGTTGCACGTGTACAATATGTACACATACTACTGTCTATGTTGCACGTGTACAATATGTACACATACTGCTGTCTGCTGTCTATGTTGTACGTGGACAATATGTACACATACTGCTGTCTATGTTGTACGTATACCATATGTACACATACTGCTGTCTATGTTGTACGTGTACAATATGTACACATACTGCTGTCTGTTGTTTATGTTGTACGTGTACAATATGTACACATACTGCTGTCTGCTGTCCATGTTGTACGTGGACAATATGTACACATACTGCTTTCTATGTTGTACGTATAAAATATGTACACATACTGCTGTCTGCTGTCTATGTTGTACGTATACAATATGTACACATACTGCTGTCTGCTGTCTATGTTGTACGTATACAATATGTACACATACTGCTGTCTGTTGTCTATGTTGCACGTGTACAATATGTACACATACTGCTGTCTGTTGTGTATGTTGCACGTGTACAATATATACGCATACTGCTGTCTGTTGTGTATGCTGTACGTATACCATATGTACACATACTGCTGTCTGTGTTGTACATGTACAATATATACGCATACTGCTGTCTGTTGTGTATGCTGTACGTGTAATCAAAAATATTTTAGTGGAGTTTTTTTTATAGTTATTATGAGTTTTAACAGAAATTCAACATACATACGAATTGTCTTACCTATCAAGGGGTCATTAATTCTATAAAAGATACTTTTGCGTGAAGATATTTAAATGTGATGATATGGTATCCATATTAATTCAGAATTATTGATGAAGATTAAAAAGGGAATACAGGATTTCTGTAACGTCACATTCATGTTGATTGTAATGTATAGGCCTACTACAGAACCAAACAAACACCATTCACATGTTAAAACAGAGTTAAAACTGATGTTGAAGCACACTACCTTAGAGTAAAGAATACATATGTTATAGACTGTTCTAGTGCTTCACAGTTAGAAAAGAACCCATTATTAAATAGAATAGAAGATGATCCTATTTCCGCTGTAAATCACCTGATGTAGCCATGGCTAAACATATTGCATGGTCCATTGATTTAAAATGGGGAAAAGTGCGCTCACCAGACTTGTGCTTGGTTTCAGATATGTGAATACGCTCCAGATTTTCTGCCCACGCAAGGACATGTTAGGGGGAGTGGGATGGGGCTGGTATGTGTGTACCGGCTTCTCAACCAATGACAAATGTTTGGTTTACGTTGTCACGTGAGTATGAAAAGTTACATCGCAATTGTTACGCCCTGTCTTTATATAGAATCAATGTTATTCGGTTTAAATCGACATCCCGGTAAAAAAGGAGGTTTCGGTGATGCTACATCAGACATCTGCTTCGTCCTTCTAGGACTAGTCGGTGATGCTACATCCTACAAGTGAAGTTCTTATTTGTTGATCGACAGTCTGGCTTTATAATTTTTTGCGACATTATATGATAACACATGCGCACAAACACCGCCGTTTGTAAATAAACCTTGCTACTCACTTAAATCGCTCGCGACAAGTTTGGATGTTAATGTCATTCATTTCGTAATTCTGAGTTGACTTAGCGCAATTAAATAATATTTACCATACCCGTAACAAAATCCAGTACTGACAAATGTGAATTAACCTGCTGTGTCACTTCTGTTGCTGTCATTTCTGCCCGCCATCGTGTGTCCGTGTTTTCAAAATGAACTGCCTTGTTTTTGAAACTATCACGTGACGTTATCAACGCCAAATTTGAGAGAGATTTTCCGCACCAAAGTAGTTGTCAAGCTGGACACTGGAAATCGATTGTGAATAACGGGATAGCATAGAAACGTAACCGAAAGTTTAATAAAAATCGCGCGTACAATTACTGACAAAATTTATGTTTTTATCGTGATGTCCCTCTAACTAAGACTTGTGTATTCATGAACAAATTTTGCAACGGTGAAAGAATCATTTTCGGTCCTTGTAAGCATCAAAATTGTTTTCCGGACAAACAGATAATGGTATGCTATCCGTAAATACCAAGATGTTTTACCTTGAACCTCGAATATCATCTATTGTAGAACTTATAATAAAGAATACCACACCGACTTCTGACCTTATTTACAAATTACCCGTCAGGACAGCTTACTTTTAAATCAGATATTTACACCGAAGGATGGCAATGTCAAGGTCATTTCCAACCACAAGAGATGGGGTTTCTATGTCGGATGTACATGTAGCAATCTCAAACACAATGTACACCTACAACTCAGTATTGTGACAAAATTTTCAATACGCGACATAATCTGTATAGACCATGATGGCGAATGTCATCGATGCAGACTGTAAAAGACGCAGAGATGGAAAGCACCTTTAAGGACAAATTTAAAGTAAGATATAGTATTGTCGAACAATTATCTAAACTCCAGCATGCAGTTGTTTCGACCTTCTAGGACTCGTCGGTGATGCCACATCAGACATCTGCTTCGTCCTTCTAGGACCCGTCGGTGATGCTACATCATACAACTATTTCGACCTTCTAAGACTCGTCAGTGATGCTACATCAGACATCTGTTTCGACCTTCTAGGACTCGTCAGTGATGCTACATCATACAACTATTTCGACTTTCTGGGACTCGTCGGTGATGCTACATCAGACATCTGCTTCGTCCTTCTAGGACCCGTCGGTGATGCTACATCATACAACTATTTCGACCTTCTAAAACTCGTCAGTGGTGCTATATCAGACATATGCTTCGTCCTTCTAGGACTCGTCGGTGATGCTACATCATACAACTATTTCGACCTTCTAGGACTCGTCAGTGATGCTACATCAGACATATGTTTCGACCTTCTAGGACTCGTCAATGATGCTACATCGGACATCCGTTTCGTCCTTCTAGGACTCGTCAGTGATGCTACATCAGACATCCGTTTCGACCTTCTAAGACTCGTCAGTGATGCTAAATCAGACATCCGTTTTGACCTTCTAGGACTCGTCGGTGATGCTACATCAGACACTAGCCCCCATAATTCTTTTTTATATATTTTATATATAACTAATAACTTTAGAACAAGGCCAAGTAACGGTATATATAGTGGCATGCAGGACAACACTTATTAGTCCGTAAAAAGTGACTGGTGTCTGAATATACGTCATTTTTGTGATATCTTTGATTCAGTTTCGTCAGTTTTGAGTTGCTTAACGGTGAGCACTTTGATATTGACGTTTGATTGTTGATTGTCATACTAAACCTTGTTTTGTTAGTGATGAAGAAGAGGACAGACTCTTGACACAGGACATCAACCAAGTGTTTAAATGTGGAAGAAGACAAATACAATCAAAGTGAGTCAATATCTACACATTTACGGAGTAAGTATAGGTAATCCTAAATACAAAGCCTTTGTCTCCCGCGTCGCCAATAAGGCCTTTTCTTTTGTAGAAATTTACACTATCCTTTACATTGGTCTGTGATGAGGAGATTTGTTCTCTTCGTTTTCTAAAACCTTTTTTGTTAATATTTTTTTAACTAAAGAATCCAATATGGAAGACAAATAAAGACACTAAAATTCAAAATTACCTCCCTTACATTCATAGACAAATGCTACATACAGGGATGGTTTATCATGGTATATATATATTTATTTACTTGTTCATTTTTTTCATTTCTCTGCTCTTGATTTCTTTATTAATTTTATCTCTGAGTCCTTAGTTGTCACAGTTTCGCTGCTTTCTGTGACTCCGTTTCAATCTTAATATTTACCGTATATGAATTAATTCCACGGTGAAGGGTTGAGTCCTACACCCAGTTGTAGACTTCAGTTTTAAATCCATGATGTCATGCTGATGTTACACTTATCGTCGGCTCTCCACTTCTTATTTTATACAATCCCAAATCTACCTTATATGGGTCCAAGTGATTACAGTTATCTATAATATATTCTTATAACAAGTAATATATTTGAGCAACAATTTTACGAATGTAAAAACGGCAAACGTTAATTGTATCTACAAAATTTATATATCATCTCCAAACAAACCGTACATTACTTCATCGAAATAACGGTTTCTGTAACCTAACTGAATCAAAAACTTTTTTCTTCTCTTTTTTTCCCTGTTAGTGTTTGTTATCGCCTTTTTGTGACCATAAAGCCCATTGTATTAATCTCAATATCTAGAATACACTCTAACTTTAGTCAACAGACTGGTTAAAAGTCTAACTTTAGTCAACAGACTGGTTAAAAGTCTAACTTTAGTCAACAGACTGGTTAAAAGTCTAACTTTAGTCAACAGACTGGTTAAAAGTCTAACTTTATAATCAACAGACTGGTTAAAAGTCTAACTTTAGTCAACAGACTGGTTAAAAGTCTAACTTTAGTCAACAGACTGGTTAAAAGTCTAACTTTAGTCAACAGACTGGTTAAAAGTCTAACTTTAGTCAACAGACTGGTTAAAAGTCTAACTTTAGTCAACAGACTGGTTAAAAGTCTAACTTTAGTCAACAGACTGGTTAAAAGTCTAACTTTATAATCAACAGACTGGTTAAAAGTCTAACTTTATAATCAACAGACTGGTTAAAAGTCTAACTTTAGTCAACAGACTGGTTAAAAGTCTAACTTTATAATCAACAGACTGGTTAAAAGTCTAACTTTAATCAACAGACTGGTTAAAAGTCTAACTTTATAATCAACAGACTGGTTAAAAGTCTAACTTTATAATCAACAGACTGGTTAAAAGTCTAACTTTAATCAACAGACTGGTTAAAAGTCTAACTTTATAATCAACAGACTGGTTAAAAGTCTAACTTTATAATCAACAGACTGGTTAAAAGTCTAACTTTAATCAACAGACTGGTTATAAGTCTAACTTTATAATCAACAGACTGGTTAAAAGTCTAACTTTATAATCAACAGACTGGTTAAAAGTCTAACTTTATAATCAACAGACTGGTTAAAAGTCTAGCTTTATAATCAACAGACTGGTTAAACGTCTAACTTTATAATCAACAGACTGGTTAAAAGTCTAACTTTAATCAACAGAATGGTTATAAGTCTAACTTTATAATCAACAGACTGGTTAAAAGTCTAACTTTATAATCAACAGACTGGTTAAAAGTCTAACTTTAATCAACAGACTGGTTATAAGTCTAACTTTATAATCAACAGACTGGTTAAAAGTCTAACTTTAGTCAACAGACTGGTTAAAAGTCTAACTTTATAATCAACAGACTGGTTAAAAGTCTAACTTTAATCAACAGACTGGTTAAAAGTCTAACTTTATAATCAACAGACTGGTTAAAAGTCTAACTTTATAATCAACAGACTGGTTAAAAGTCTAACTTTAATCAACAGACTGGTTAAAAGTCTAACTTTAGTCAACAGACTGGTTAAAAGTCTAACTTTATAATCAACAGACTGGTTAAAAGTCTAACTTTAATCAACAGACTGGTTAAAAGTCTAACTTTATAATCAACAGACTGGTTAAAAGTCTAACTTTATAATCAACAGACTGGTTAAAAGTCTAACTTTATAATCAACAGACTGGTTAAAAGTCTAACTTTAATCAACAGACTGGTTAAAAGTCTAACTACAATAAACAGACTGGTTAAAAGTCTAACTTTATAATAAACAGACTGGTTAAAAGTCTAACTTTAGTCAACAGACTGGTTAAAAGTCTAACTACAATAAACAGACTGGTTAAAAGTCTAACTTTATAATCAACAGACTGGTTAAAAGTCTAACTTTATAATCAACAGACTGAACTCGATATGCTTTTACTGTTTGCAGTGCCCTTAAGGAAGAATTAAAACTACAGAACCCTAAAGCCGCCACACCTCTCACAGACGCCATTACTCAGAAGGTAACGGCAGTGCGCATGTGCCGTTTTTTCTGTAGAGAAATACTGTGCTTTATCATCCTCTCAGATGTCTGCTTTCAAATCGATTAGTGAAACTGTGACGCAGACCAAATCTGATAATTATCCAATTTTCCAAATATTATAAAGTGTTACTTATGTAAAAGTGATTGCTACAGTACCGAATCCCTATAGACATTCTATCAGTGTGACATTGTCTCTTGATTTCAGGAAAGAGTCGATGTCCTTCTGATCGAGGGAAAGGATGCCGACTACATAGTACAGGAACTTCTGCGACGCAATGTTTTACGTCATGTCGACCAGCTGTCTGTAGTGTTGAACACAGTGAACAATGCCACATCAGTATCCGACTATCAAAAACAAATACTCCTGTTCAAAGCTCTTCACCAGGAGGGATTCAGGATCTTCCATTTTGAAAGAGATCCAAATCATGTTTTCTCTAATAACCCCTGGCGGACAGGATGTTACACAGTTTGTATGGTAATGTGTTTTGTCTGATGTCGTCCTGACACATGTAACTGTCATGGCTGTTAAAGGGGTATTTTTCATCATGTTCCAAAATCTGCCTTTACAGTGAAGTCCTGTAATTCTGTTTGACACAAGCTTTAAGCAATACTAAAAATATCTGAATAGTAAAACTAATAATCTATAAGTAGCTTATAAATATCTCTGTGCCGACATAATCGCTCTCATGGATTTAAACAATGGCGGAGCGAGGAGACGAATGATAGTGTTTGCGTTGCAGGTTTATCTAAATAGCTTATATCATTTAATTTCCTGTACGTGATGGGTAAACCTGAATTTATAGAACTTTTCCTCACAACATTCAATATATGCTATTTAAGAGGCGTTCTATTAAATTCAGATGACCTAAAAATACCCAAATCGTATTTCTGTATTAGTTATATCTAATGACATCCCCATCAAGGCCACTTGTGTGCAAATTTTCGATAAAAGCTGCGTTTGGTGATGCAATATAAATATAAATTACCTTGTGATCAATCAATTATCAAAAAGGTCACAATTGTTCGCTATGTATTTTGTCGATTCAAAATCCCGATCAGAATTCAAAGGAGAAATCAAACTTACCATGTCATCTCTCTGTTCCGCAACCGCGCGGATTTGTTTCAACGGAACTTTGTTCCCACCAGGGGGCGCAGTGTTTGACTCTATATTTGGATAAATGTTCTGTTTGGTGCGGGTTTTCACACACTGACCACGCTGAACATTGACTACATGCCATCTACATACTAACAGCGCATTCTTTCGCCTTGACACATGTTATAGCGAATGCTGTTGTCGTTGATTCATTGTTCATTCTCGTCCGTATTTAACCTTTCTTTAGTTTATTGGGATTGTGCTTTGATCTTGAATGACCTTCAGGAACCTGTACTTTCATTGTAACAGATATTTTATACGCCGCCGGAGGCGGTCGTATATAATCGTCATCTCCGTCTGTCCGTCCGTACGTCCATTTCTTGTGAACGCAACTCCTCCTAAACTAATCATCAGATTTTCATGAAACTTGCTCAATGTCACTACTACAATGGGTAGATGTGCATGAAGGGGCGATTTTTTGGTTCTTTGATTTTTGTAAGATTGATGCCATTTTCAACTTTGTATCTGTAGCTTGCTCTTAGTGGAGCTTTGTGAACGCAACTCCTAAACTAATGATCAGATTTTCATTAAACTTGCTCAATGTCACTGATACAATGGTTCGATGTGCATGAAGGGGCAATTTTACGGTTCATTGATTTTTGTAAGATTTATATATTTTGTGGTGGAGTGTATTGTGTCCACGGCACTCTTGTTGATTTAATCTCGACCAATAACTGTGGTTTCATGTTCTTTACCAGATGAGGGAGAGAGAGGTGGAACCCCCGATAGCTGTACCCGAACCAAAGAGTTTGGAAGCAATGGATGATCGCACACTGGTCAACACTTACTTCAGGTAATGATAATGTCGTGTTGTGATACCAAATTAAGATGATGAAGTATATATTTATATATAGAGACACATCTGCTATACAAACATATATCTATATCGTAAACATTGAACAATCAATCAAAATAAAAAAAAAAACAAGAGTTAGTTATCCATACACAAAGATATCACACGTGTTGATTCATTATAGAAAAGAAATTTCACAAATCAGTTGTTTGTATTGATCTATGTGAATGAATCAATCAAATTAAGGAACACAACTTATCGGTCATTGTTAATGATCAATCAAATTAAGGAACACACAACTTATCGATCGATGTAAATGAACCAATCAAATTAAGCGAAAAGCTACTCCTCAGTTTGACGTAACAATAGTCTGACGTAACAACAGTCTGACGTAAGAGTGGAGCATTGTCTTGGTGGCATTGTTGTAAATGATAATTGGCTCATGTCATTGTGTACATAGGTCAACCTTGATTTTTTTTTACTCTGATCGAATACTACTCCCGCCGTTCAAGGTATATTGGACTTACTGTATATGGGCAAACATTGTCACTGTCAATTATTGTAGCAGCACAATAGCTTGACAGAAGACTGGGAAGAGTTTGCTTCATTGAGAATGGAGTGTAGCTCTTTAAGTTTCTGCTTATACTGTAGAAATCTCGTTGATAACCCTTTATGTTCGTGTATGGAAAACGAAGAGACTAATGAACACTATTTGTTACATTGCAGTCTTTTCCAGCCAATCCGTGTGCATGCCTTTGTTGCAATAAATCGCCCAATCTTAAATAGATTACTCTTTTTCGGTGATGATAAATTATCAAACGATGAATTTGTATTAATTTTTTCTTGTACGCAAAATTTCGTCTTCAGATCGAACAGATTTGAATAATGTTACTACCCCGAACATACAGCCATAGTTATATCCCCAGTATAATGTTACTACCCTGCATCCTACAGCCATAGTTATATCCCCAGTATAATGTTACTACCCCGAACCTACAGCCATAGTTATATCCCCAGTATAATGTTACTACCCTGCATCCTACAGCCATAGTTATATCCCCAGTATAATGTTACTACCCTGTATCCTACAGCCATAGTTATATCCCCAGTATAATGTTACTACCCTGTATCCTACAGCCATAGTTATATCCCCAGTATAATGTTACTACCCTGTATCCTACAGCCATAGTTATATCCCCAGTATAATGTTACTACCCTGTATCCTACAGCCATAGTTATATCCCCAGTATAATGTTACTACCCTGTATCCTACAGCCATAGTTATATCCCCAGTATAATGTTACTACCCTGCTTCCTTCAGCCATAGTTATATCCCCAGTATAAAGCATACCCTTTAAACAAACGTATCATTATGAATGTTACTGGATTCCAATGCTCTGATATCTAGTCAGATAATAAAAATCCCTCTTCATCAATTTTATCAAAATGTTCATTTTGATTTTACCAGTTTTGTGATGTCGAATGAAGTTCTGTGTAAGGAAATTTTAAGGGTTGGTGACATTGACGATGGTGGCTGGGATGTTTGTGTCGATGACAAATACAGACCGTCCTCGCCATGTCTAGTCTACTCATTCGGGTAAGTTTACTTTTTATCATTTTTATTATTAGGGGATTAACGTCCTCTATTATGGCCTTTAGGCCTTTCAGAGGACGAGAAAAGATAGGAGGGAATAGAAGGGGAGAAAGTATGTAGTGAGAGGAAGGGGAATATAGGAGAGACTTCGCGTCCGAGGGTTTTCTTCTGGTGCTTTACACCGTCCCGATCTTCATCCGGCGATGTGTCGTCCGAGGGAGGAGGGGGGATAGAGAGTATGTAAGGCGGGGTCGATTTTAACGGCTCTACTAATATTTTTGTTTTAGGTCCGAAAAATTGTGCGACCTCTGTAACTATGGCGTTTAACTTAATGAGCTAAACGTATGGGACTTACGACTGCCGTTAGGCGCTGGCCCTGGGGAATTATTTAAATCATAAATGATTGGGGAACCTGTTTACTTGAGGTGTACCGATATGAGATTTCGAATATATAATTCTATCCTACCGCATTTTAATTCCTATTTATTCATCAGGGTTATATATATATATATATATCCTACGCTATTCATATCACTGCCCTGATGTACTATTATAGTATAATTTTGAGAAATAGTGTGCTAAATGCACTTAATAGAAAATTAACACACCGTGTGTGCGACCCTATTGGAACTAGTCGGTAAACTGTGTAATTTGATATTATATATTTTGGATGGCCGTCCGAGAGATAATTATCCTTGTCATTATCCCTACCTACGTATCTAGGAACCCCTGGACCGGCTTGCAATAAGCTTTCTCTTTTTCGAATAATCCAGATGGTTCTTTTTCGTGCTAGGGCGGACCAACCTTCACATGGGACACCACAGCTTTAAGTCCCATCCGACGGACTGTATGTTAGTAAAAAGTTTTTAGTGCGCATGCAGGTTCATTTTTTTGTCCTTTCTTCTTTCTTGTCTGCCTCTTTCTTCTGTTGAGTCTGATCCATCTGCACCAATGTCTTCATTCTTTTTTTTAATAGACCACTTTCACTGGTTATCTCATTCCGACGTTTTATAGTATATATGTGCTATATGGTGATTTATTAGTAGGGGTTGAACGGTATATACCTATAACTGACCTTATGTGCAGGGGAGGGCTATTATTTTTAACATGCTGGATAAAAAAAGGGGGGAGGGGGCCGGAAGGGGAGGCGGGAATGAAGCATGCTGGGATAAAAAAAGGGGGGAGGGTAGGTGGTCGGGAAATGAAGAGGGTCATATTTGGTATTAATCTTATTAATTCTATGTTGAGTATTGTTTTGTTTGCCCATATATAATCTGTTCTAACTGCAGAAATTAATAATAAGTACTTTAAAAATGGTGAAGTTTAAAGGTAGAAACAAAACTAGCTAGGGTAGGATTGAAGTTGTGATATTAGTCTGGAATTATGATCAATCAATGCCTACTTACAACTCTTATGGGCCAGATATGTATAGGTAGAGATTTTCTATATTACTTTTATAACGCTAGATTTGTTCAAGATTAGTTTGGGGGTGGGGGCTTGGAGGGGGGAGGTGGTAGGGGATGGTTACCTGTAACTGTATGTAGGGTAATACTGTAGGGAGAGAAGAGCCAGTGCTTTTAGGTTGTTCCTAACAGTCGTTAGACATGCACTCGTATATTGTATAACTATTTATTTGGGTATTTTATTGCTATTTTTTGTTTTTGAGTGGGGGAGAGTTAATTCTTTTAGTTCTAAGAGGGTTGAGTATTCGTTTTACCGGAACCGGAAGCGCCACAGGAGCCACGTCGGATGGCCGGACTCCCCGCATGAGGTCAGAACAAAGACGTTGTAGCACTCCTAATCCGATGATCAGATGTTTTTATGTAGTTTGTTAGAATGTGTTAGATAATCCGGCTTGTCTATTCTTACTATATAGCATAGCCGGTTTATCCCTTGGGCCCTACCTAACTTACTTTTTAATAACTTTTATGTTTGGTTTATGTTCATTAAGTTAATGTTATGCGGAGAGCACCTATCCATTTATCTATACGGACCGGAAGTACTACAGGAGCCACGTCGGGTGGCCGTACTCCCCGCCTGAGGTCGGAACAAAGACGTTGTAGTACTCCCTTACCAGTGATGTGTATAAATACTTATACTGTTGTGTTTTAATTAGTACTCAAAGATAAATTTGTTAAACTGTGTTGGATAACCTGTCCTGTCTAGTATTACCATTTAGCGAGTTCAGATTATCCCTTATGCCCTTCCTAACTGGTAAACGTTCCGGGACACTTAGGATAACTCCCCAACACATATTTACCCTGTGGGGCAATACCGTGGGGAGAGAGGAACCAGTACTGATATTTCATATCTAGCTGTTTAACAAAGATATTATAGAATATCCTAAAACTATTCGACTTTTGACCCTGCACCCGTCCTTATTTTATTGTACAAGTGATTCCCGCCTGCAGGGTATAGGGCTATCAATATACTGTAGTTTATGAATATAGTCACTTGTATTGGGATGTTATTTATGGTTAAGGGGAGGTAAATCTTATATAATTTTCGTTTCTTTTTATATTTCGTTGATTTTATTTATTTTTATTAGTACTATAAGATCCTGCTCATTAATCCAGTCTTCTAATAGTTGACCTCGATTGTCGTCATGTTCACTTCCCCACAGAGAATTATGGGCATTAAAATCTCCGGCTATAATGTGGTGTTTATATCTATTAGTTAGATTTGAAATGAAGTCTAATTCTGATTGGTCAATTTTGATTGATGGGCTAATGTCTATATTAAAAATTCCATTTATATTTAAATCTCCGATATATAAAGGTGTTCTCTACCTGTGTGACTGTTAAATCTCCGATATATAAAGGTGTTCTCTACCTGTGTGACTGTTAAATCCCCGATAATTAAAGGTGTTCTCTACATGTGTGTCTGTTAAATCCCCGATAATTAAAGGTGTTCTCTACATGTGTGTCTGTTAAATCTCCGATAATTAAAGGTGTTCTCTACATGTGTGTCTGTTAAATCTCCGATAATTAAAGGTGTTCTCTACATGTGTGTCTGTTAAATCCCCGATAATTAAAGGTGTTCTCTACACTGTGTGTCTGTTAAATCCCCGATAATTAAAGGTGATTCTACACGTGTTACTGTTAAATCCCCGATAATTAAAGGTGTTCTCTACATGTGTGACTGTTAAATCTCCGATATATAAAGGTGTTCTCTACCTGTGTGACTGTTAAATCCCCGATAATTAAAGGTGTTCTCTACCTGTGTGTCTGTTAAATCCCCGATAATTAAAGGTGTTCTCTACCTGTGTGTTAAATCTCCCGATATATTAAAGGTGTTCTGTTAAATCCCCGATAATTAAAGGTGTTCTCTACCTGTGTGTCTGTTAAATCTCCGATATATAAAGGTGTTCTCTACATGTGTGTCTGTTAAATCTCCGATAATTAAAGGTGTTCTCTACCTGTGTGTCTGTTAAATCCCCGATAATTAAAGGTGTTCTCTACATGTGTGTCTGTTAAATCCCCGATAATTAAAGGTGTTCTCTACCTGTGTGTCTGTTAAATCTCCGATAATTAAAGGTGTTCTCTACATGTGTGTCTGTTAAATCTCCGATATATAAAGGTGTTCTCTACATGTGTGACTGTTAAATCCCCGATAATTAAAGGTGTTCTCTACCTGTGTGACTGTTAAATCTCCGATATATAAAGGTGTTCTCTACATGTGTGTCTGTTAAATCTCCGATATATAAAGGTGTTCTCTACATGTGTGTCTGTTAAATCCCCGATAATTAAAGGTGTTCTCTACCTGTGTGTCTGTTAAATCCCCGATAATTAAAGGTGTTCTCTACATGTGTGTCTGTTAAATCCCCGATAATTAAAGGTGTTCTCTACATGTGTGTCTGTTAAATCCCCGATAATTAAAGGTGTTCTCTACCTGTGACTGTTAAATCTCCGATATATAAAGGTGTTCTCTACCTGTGTGACTGTTAAATCTCCGATATATAAAGGTGTTCTCTACATGTGTGACTGTTAAATCCCCGATAATTAAAGGTGTTCTCTACCTGTGTGACTGTTAAATCCCCGATAATTAAAGGTGTTCTCTACCTGTGTGACTGTTAAATCCCCGATAATTAAAGGTGTTCTCTACCTGTGTGTCTGTTAAATCCCCGATAATTAAAGGTGTTCTCTACCTGTGACTGTTAAATCCCCGATAATTAAAGGTGTTCTCTACCTGTGTGTCTGTTAAATCTCCGATATATAAAGGTGTTCTCTACATGTGTGTCTGTTAAATCCCCGATAATTAAAGGTGTTCTCTACCTGTGTGTCTGTTAAATCCCCGATAATTAAAGGTGTTCTCTACCTGTGTAACTGTTAAATCCCCGATAATTAAAGGTGTTCTCTACATGTGTGTCTGTTAAATCCCCGATAATTAAAGGTGTTCTCTACCTGTGTGACTGTTAAATCCCCGATATTTAAAGGTGTTCTCTACCTGTGTGTCTGTTAAATCTCCGATAATTAAAGGTGTTCTCTACCTGTGTGTCTGTTAAATCCCCGATAATTAAAGGTGTTCTCTACCTGTTTGTCTGTTAAATCTCCGATAATTAAAGGTGTTCTCTACCTGTTCGTCTGTTAAATCCCCGATAATTAAAGGTGTTCTCTACCTGTGTGTAATTAAAGGTGTTCTCTCCCTGTGTGACTGTTAAATCTCCGATAATATAAGGTTGTTCTCTACATGTGTGACTGTTAAATCTCCGATAATTAAAGGTGTTCTCTACATGTGACTGTTAAATCCCTGATAATTAAAGGTGTTCTCTACATGTAACTGTTAAATCCCCGATAATTAAAGGTGTTCTCTACCTGTAACTGTTAAATCCCCGATAATTAAAGGTGTTCTCTACATGTGTGTCTGTTAAATCCCCGATAATTAAAGGTGTTCTCTACCTGTGTGTCTGTTAAATCCCCGATAATTAAAGGTGTTCTCTACATGTGTGTCTGTTAAATCCCCGATAATTAAAGGTGTTCTCTACATGTGTGTCTGTTAAATCTCCGATATATAAAGGTGTTCTCTACATGTGTGACTGTTAAATCTCCGATATATAAAGGTGTTCTCTACATGTGTGTCTGTTAAATCTCCGATATATAAAGGTGTTCTCTACCTGTGTGTCTGTTAAATCCCTACATGATATATTAAAGGTGTTCTCTACCTGTGTGTCTGTTAAATCCTCCGATAATATAAAGGTGTTCTCTACCTGTGTGTCTGTTAAATCCCCGATATATTAAAGGTGTTCTCTACCTGTGTGTCTGTTAAATCTATATTAAAGGTGTTCTCTACATGTTAAATGTTCTCTACCTGTGTGTCTGTTAAATCCCCGATATAAAGGTGTTCTCTACATGTGTGTCTGTTAAATCCCCGATAATTAAAGGTGTTCTCTACCTGTGACGGTTAAATCCCCGATAATTAAAGGTGTTCTCTACCTGTGACTGTTAAATCTCCGATATATAAAGGTGTTCTCTACCTGTGACTGTTAAATCTCCGATATATAAAGGTGTTCTCTACCTGTGACTGTTAAATCCCCGATAATTAAAGGTGTTCTCTACCTGTGTTCTCTACCTGTGTGTCTGTTAAATCCCCGATAATTAAAGGTGTTCTCTACCTGTTTGTCTGTTAAATCCCCGATAATTAAAGGTGTTCTCTACCTGTGTGTCTGTTAAATCTCCGATATATAAAGGTGTTCTCTACCTGTTTGTCTGTTAAATCCCCGATATATAAAGGTGTTCTCTACCTGTGTGACTGTTAAATCTCCGATAATTAAAGGTGTTCTCTACCTGTGTGTCTGTTAAATCCCCGATATATAAAGGTGTTCTCTACCTGTTTGTCTGTGTTCTCTACCTGTGTGTTAAATCTGTTAAATCCTCTACCCGATATATAAAGGTGTTCTCTACATGTGTGTCTGTTAAATCCCCGATAATTAAAGGTGTTCTCTACCTGTGACTGTTAAATCCCCGATAATTAAAGGTGTTCTCTACCTGTGACTGTTAAATCCCCGATAATTAAAGGTGTTCTCTACCTGTGTGTTCTCTCCCCGATATGTGTGTGTGTGTCTGTTAAATCCCCGATATATTAAAGGTGTTCTCTACCTGTGTGTCTGTTAAATCCCCTATAATTAAAGGTGGTCTCTACCTGTGTATGTTATATCTCCGTTATTTAAAGGTGTTCTCTACCTGTGTGTCTGTTAAATCTCCGATATATAAAGGTGTTCTCTACCTGTGTGTCTGTTAAATCTATATTAAAGTTTCTCTAAATCCCCGATAATTAAAGGTGTTCTCTCCCTGTGTGTCTGTTAAATCCCCGATAATTAAAGGTGTTCTCTCCCTGTGTGTCTGTTAAATCCCCGATAATTAAAGGTGTTCTCTACCTGTGTGACTGTTAAATCCCCGATAATTAAAGGTGTTCTCTACCTGTGTGTCTGTTAAATCCCCGATAATTAAAGGTGTTCTCTACCTGTGACTGTTAAATCCCCGATAATTAAAGGTGTTCTCTACCTGTGACTGTTAAATCCCCGATAATTAAAGGTGTTCTCTACCTGTGTGTCTGTTAAATCCCCGATAATTAAAGGTGTTCTCTCCCTGTGTGTCTGTTAAATCCCCGATAATAAAAGGTGTTCTCTACCTGTGCGTCTGTTAAATCCCCGATAATTAAAGGTGTTCTCTACCTGTGACTGTTAAATCTCCGATATCTAAAGGTGTTCTCTACCTGTGTGTCTGTTAAATCCCCGATAATTAAAGGTGTTCTCTACCTGTTTGTCTGTTAAATCCCCGATAATTAAAGGTGTTCTCTACCTGTGACTGTTAAATCCCCGATAATTAAAGGTGTTCTCTACCTGTGACGGTTAAATCCCCGATAATTAAAGGTGTTCTCTACCTGTGACGGTTAAATCCCCGATAATTAAAGGTGTTCTCTACCTGTGACTGTTAAATCTCCGATATATAAAGGTGTTCTCTACCTGTGACTGTTAAATCTCCGATAATTAAAGGTGTTCTCTACCTGTGTGTTAAATCTAATTAAATCTCTACCTGTGTGTCTAAATCCCCGATATTAAAGGTGTTCTCTACCTGTGTGTCTGTTAAATCCCCGATATATTAAGATCAAAACTCGCAGAGACACTCAAAAATCCCCGATAATTAAAGGTGTTCTCTACCTGTGTGTCTGTTAAATCCCCGATAATTAAAGGTGTTCTCTACCTGTGTGACTGTTAAATCCACGATAATTAAAGGTGTTCTCTACCTGTGTGTCTGTTAAATCCCCGATAATTAAAGGTGTTCTCTACCTGTGTGTCTGTTAAATCCCCGATAATTAAAGGTGTTCTCTACCTGTGTGACTGTTAAATCCCCGATAATTAAAGGTGTTCTCTACATGTGTGACTGTTAAATCTCCGATAATTAAAGGTGTTCTCTACATGTGTGACTGTTAAATCTCCGATAATTAAAGGTGTTCTCAACCTGTGTGACTGTTATGTGTTCTCTACATGTTCGACTAAATCCCCATAAGCACCATAGGTGTTTCCTCTCCTGTGTGTCTTTACTCTAAATTTAACAAGATTTAAACAAGGATCACGCCGTCATAGCCATCGTCTAAGATTTAATAACATGCTTGGCAAGGGGTTCTATGAACAGTAAATACACTGTGTCATTCAAAATGTCGTTGAGATTTTTGTCTGCCCATTCTGTGTTCAGAAGAAAAAAAACTTTCAGTAACATGATGACCTAGTGTTAAATATTCAGCACAAGTTTGGATTGTAGAGCATGCTTTTGAAGAAAACTGTACAAAATCATCTATTTATTTTCTTACGGAAATCGTACTCCTCAGTTTACCATTTAAACAGATATATGCTATTTTTGATAGTGCTAATCCGATTTACTTTGATTGCGTCATGACAGGTTGGCTTTGTTATACACAGAATTAAATATTTGTGTAATTTATAAAATCAACAAAACTTAATCCTGATGAAGTAATAAAATTTAATCCAGGCAGAACTTTTCGTGAACAGTGCATAAAATCTATGACCCAGCGAATTTTCAGTTCCGGATTTCCCCATGCGATATATTCAGACGGTTTCGCTGGAAGTATACCCCGCTATTTCGTCTTTGCAAACTGACCTCAAGATATTTTGATGCTTACAATAGTTTTAAAAGTCATTAGAATACGCAGAAAGGTACAAAACAGCCAGAAAGTTTGAAACTTGGACAAAATACTCGTTTAAAAACATTGTTTTGCACAACTGAGATACAGAATTATTGACCCCGGTGTTTGTGAAAGACAAAGCGAAAGTAAAACATTCAATGCACCTGTGGCGAATCGCTTCTAAAATCCAAGGATTTATGTCATTAAGATATTAAATGAAGAAGTACTCTGTTACCTGACATTGAATGTACTAACCACTATGCGTCCGACTTAATATACATGTTGTTGTCTGTTGATTAGTATTGGACTGGAGGATCAGCGACGGTCTAAATTGCAATGGTTTCACAATCTCGGCTTGTCGGACAAGAATAGCACCATAACGAGGAAAAACATTAAATGGAAAATGATGGATTTGAAATCAATCCGTACCTCGTTAGGACATAATGATGTAAGTAGTCACTTTGAAGTACCTCTATACCATATAGCATTTCGAAAAAAAAACTTTGATAATACATATCTGCATCAAATCTCTATACAATATTCAAGGTAAGACTTTGTGATTCGGAATGCCTCTATACCATATTCAAGGTAAGACTTTGTGATTCGGAATGCCTCTATATCATATTCAAGGTAAGACTTTGTGATTCGGAATGCCTCTATACCATATTCATGGTAAGACTTTGTGATTCGGAATGCCTCTATATCATATTCAAGGTAAGACTTTGTGATTCGGAATGCCTCTATACCATATTCATGGTAAGACTTTGTGATTCGGAATGCCTCTATATCATATTCAAGGTAAGACTTTGTGATTCGGAATGCCTCTATACCATATTCATTGTAAGACTTTGTGATTCGGAATGCCTCTATTTCATATTCAAGGTAAGACTTTGTGATTCGGAATGCCTCTATACCATATTCAAATTAAGACTTTGTGATTCGGAATGCCTCTATATAATATGAAAAGTCGGTCTTTGATACTCGGAATGCCTCTATATTATATAAAAGGTGATATTTTGTGACTCGGAATGCCTCTATATCATATAAAAAGTAATATTGTGTGACTCGGAATGCCTCTATATAATATAAAAGGTGATATTTTGTGACAAAGAATGCGTCTATGTTCAATAAAATGACAGACGTAGTGACTTGGAATACCTCTATGTTCTATAGAATTCCTGACAAGGGTTCTGAAGTCATTATTTCCTGTACTGTGATGTGATGTGTTGTGTACTGTGCTGTGATGTGTTGCGTACTGTACTGTGATGTGTTGTGTACTGTACTGTGCTGTACCGTGCTGTACTGTGCTGTGCTGTGATGTGTTGTGTACTGTGCTGTGATGTGTTGTGTACTGTACTGTGATGTGATGTGCTGTGTATTGTACTGTGATGTGTTGTGCTGTGTACTGTGCTGTGCTGTGCTTTGTACTGTGCTGTACTGTACTGTACTGAGCTGTACTGAGCTGTGCTGTACTTTGCTAGACTAGACTGGAAAATACTTCCTAGAGCTGTGACGTTTATCTGTAAATCAGAAAATGTTGTATAATTATCTCTTTATTTAACTCTGGTTTATCATCAGACATTTGATCGACAATCCAGATATACCGCAAACCATTTTCATTGAAAAACATAGACAGATTAATGTGGATATCATGTAGGATTTCTGTTTATATATTTCAGCGCCAAATCGACATTTTAAAAATGGACATTGAGGGGTCGGAATGGTTAGCCGTCCCCAATATCCTGGAAACTGGAATCTTAAATCACGTCAAACAACTGTACTTGGAAATCCATGTATCCGTTAACAATAGACGAGCTCGTGACTGGATCCCAAAATTAGATCTGCTCCGACAGTTACATGATGTAGGATTCCGACTTTTCTGGTCTCACCCCAACCAAGTTCATTATAATACCGCCATATCGATTTACACCAAGCGGCACGTGTCATCCTGTTATGAACTTTATTACGTTAACATAAATTTATGATATCTATGCTGTTTAACGTTCATCATGTAATGTACTTTTTTCCTTAACATAAATTTATGATATCTATGCTGTTTAACGTTCATCATGTAATGTACTTTTTTCCTTAACATAAATTTATGATATTTATGTTGTTTAACGTTCATCATGTAATGTACTTTTTCCCTTAACATAAATTTATGATATCTATGCTGTTTAACGTTCATCATGTAATGTACTTTTTTCCTTAACATAAATTTATGATATCTATGCTGTTTAACGTTCATCATGTAATGTACTTTTTTCCTTAACATAAATTTATGATATCTATGCTGTTTAACGTTCATCATGTAATGTACTTTTTTCCTTAACATAAATTTATGATATCTATGCTGTTTAACGTTCATCATGTAATGTACTTTTTTCCTTTACATAAATTTATGATATTTATGTTGTTTTGCATTCATCATATTACACGAATTAATCTGTTTTAGATCAAATTTCTTTTTTTCGTTGTTTTCTAAAAAAAAATTTTTTTCTAAAATTCTACGGTCATTACTGCTGATGATATCCTCTGATTTATTCTATTTTGTAAGATGATATAAGGATTGTTTAATAAACTCAGAAATCATCGCACTTGTTGTGTTTTGCATGACGTGTTTTATAAATTATTTTATCTAAGCTTTGATAGGAATATTTTTCGTTTCATGTTGGTTCGAATGTTTTTTGAATGATGGTGAGAAACAAATGGCATGTTCCCTATGGTTCGTATCAACCGATTCCAAACTGGTATACCCACCCCTAACGGGATGTTACAATATTCTAGTGGGTTACTGATATACACAAATATGTACATATAGCTCAGCGACATATGTTTGAGCAATCAGCGCCCCCAATGCCAAACCCAGGGGTTGCTGCAAGGGTGACAAGGACATAGACATCAAGATCACCTTTCCATGTTCATTTGTAAAATATATACATTTAAAGTTAGCAACACGGAAAAATGGAAGACAGGTATGCGCAGAATTTGCCGAATATCAAACTTGAACAAGTAACAAGTCTAGCAAGCAGTCTTATCATTATTCATTTTGTCCTTCAAAATATGATGTGCGGAAAGAATTCAGTTAGGGTGCAGAAAGATATCTGCCAATCAGGTCACAGCAGCCTCATTAAATATGCGCGGAATTCGCCGCTCATCGACCTTGGCCAAGAGATTAAGGTAACAAGTGTACCAACCAAGTATCATCAACATCATCTGACCAGTCCGTCAAAAGATGTCTGCGATGCATAATGTAATGACGAAAACGATGTCACAACTCTGTCAAATAATAACTGGCTGAGTATAAATGACCTTTTCTATATCCCAGCCTCACATCGAGAGTGTAGTATATGTTGCAAATACATGAAAACTCATACATTACACATCATTAGAAAGGTTAATTAGAGAGAGAGACGATGGAAGCAAAAAGCTGATAGAGCTTGCCAACAATGCAATATCTTGAATAAAATATGTACGGTTATGAAAATGCCACGAAATCTTTAAAAAGGGGCACTGCAATCACACATGTCATTTATTTCAAGAACAAAATACTGTTTCGCTGTGTAGGTTAGGCTCATTATTTGGTTTACCCTAAAAACAAACACAAACATTCTTGATTATGATTCAAAAAACAAAAATAATAATAATTAATTTCATAATAACGGATTATTTTATAACAAATCACTACGCATAACAGTTGGCGTGACAGAAAAACTCCTTTAATTTGACTTTTGGAGGAAATGTAGTGGTCATATCGATCGGAAGTATCTACTAGAACTGAAAATCTAGGACACGACCAGACTCATCTTTATCAGTCAGTTTTCTCCGATCTTTACCTTCATCCCGTATCTTCAATATTTAGATGTCTGAAGTCGGCTTCGTCGATATTCCAGTGTTTGAAATATCGACATATACGAAAACAATGTCAGTGTTGTATGTTCACTATCATGATCTCATTCAGAAACATGCGATTTCCTCGTGAAATTAAACGTTTAAGGTGTTCCATGCTCGTTAGTAGTCAGTGTTATTTCATTATTAAACATTTTAAATAATTTATCGTTTGAAAAAAAATTAAATTAGGGCCTTCCTGTAAATTTTGTATTTTGTGCGGAGACAACTCGTATATATACTAGATGTAACAAACCACTCGTCGTAAAGATAGCAGGGACACAATTCTGAAGAAACGAAGTCGAATTTAATGTTTTGTGCCACTTTCATTTCTTGATAAAAGAGAAATTTGAATCGTATACATGTAGAATAGAACTTCTAATCACACAACCAGAAGACGACACGGCAACCTTTATCAGACTTATGGCTAGTGTGGAGCTTGGACGAGATGGTAAGGAATCGACTGTACTATACACACTAAGCTAGCAAATAGTGTGCCGAGATGGTAAAAAGTATACGAGACAGTCACAATGTACTGTGGTCGATTCGGCGACGCATTATTAAACACTAAGTCAAATTTGTGTGAGAGTCTATGGCCCCCTTCGTCCCTATCCAGTTGGCATTCTTGTCACCCACCTGAACATGTTGTTTTTCCTATTACCTTTTTTCTTTTTTAATTTTCACGGTCAATAATACATTTTTGCTGCGTGGAATAATCTATAAATCCAATTTGCTTGGTCTTGAACAGAGAATGCTTTCGCTATGATGTGGTGATTTTTTTTCCTTCTTGTGAAGTCGCACACCGAATCTCCTGTCCGTTTCTCTGATATACGATACGTCGCTGTTCTTACATTCGATTTTATATACGCATTCTGTGATGTTCTTTTTGTGTGCTTTATCCATGGGATGGGCTAAGAGTCTACCACGACCACTGTCTTTGGTATACGGGATGACTATACAAGTCTTTTCGTTTATAACCAAACGTTTAACAAGGCCGGGTAGCAGAATGGACTGCAATACACTATAATACGTTTGTGGGCCGACATATACAGGTATTTGAATGTTTTTTTTTCTAAAAACATCGACTTCATGATTTATTAAGCCAAAATGATATTTCGTAACAGCGATGAGTAATTATTTATTGTTACATTAAAAACATTTAGACGATCAGATTTCGTTCATTTCTACCACATCAACAGAGATCGAGAAAACTGGAGTTCAAATTCAAGTGTTTCATAGAAAGACGAATTAGCAAAGTTGAAAAGTGGAACTATTTTGAGGGTGATTATGTAGAAATGGCAAAGGAATTGAATATCGAATGGGAAGATATCCGACAAAGCAAAAACCCCAATGTTCTATTTAACCAGATTTTTTGGAATATTTCAGCATAGCTAAGGAAAAGCATATCCCCATGATAACGCAAGGACACCACAACTACATACCCTTGGATTGTGAGACAAAGTCCAACCGATATCAGAGTAACACCGTAGATGGCAAAGATATATGGAAACGAAAACCGGTAATAAGTACAAGGAATATACTATAGAGAGAAATCGTGTAGGAAAATTGTTGAAAAAAGCGAAAGTATTCACGGAAAAAAACAGAGCCAAGTGTGCATAAGACAATCCAAAATAATTTTGGAAATGTGCAAATTCAAAATATGTAAAACCAAGTCACGTATATCAGAGCTTAGATATACGACCGCTATTTGACAGGGCAAACACATCAACAGAGACTGAGAAAAGTTCTCGTAAACTCTTACAAGTGTGTTTACAGAATAGTCAGAGGGAGAAATTCTAGATATTGAGAAGTACAACATATTGCACCAGTTAATTGATAACCTCTACAGCGAGGACGATGTCATGAAACTGGTGAAAGACCTTGATGCTAATACATACACACAACCAGAAGGAATGCACCCAATTGTACTCATACATTCACACAGCCAGAAGGAATGCACCCAATTGTACTAATACATACACACAGCCAGAAGGAATGCACCCAATTGTACTAATACATACACACAGCCAGAAGGAATGCACCCAATTGTACTAATACATACACACAGCCAGAAGGAATGCACCCAATTGTACTAATACATTCACACAGCCAGAAGGAATGCACCCAATTGCACTAAGTAAGCTACAAGAAGTCAGCCAAGCATTCAGCTATCATCTACAATACATCAATGTAAACTGTACCAGGTTTATGGAAGTTTGGTAGGGTTACGGTATTATTTAAAAAGGGAGATAACTTTAACATAGGGAAATAACGACCAGTAGGTATGAAGTGGTATGGAAAATGATGGAGAAACTTGTGAGAACAGATAAAGTCAACCATATGACTAGAAACAACCTGTTCAGTATCAAACAGTTCCCGTTCATATCAGTCAGATCCACAACTTTACAACTCCTTAGAGTCCAGGAGGACTGGACAGAGATACTAGACGAAGGTGGCACTATCGATGATGTGTTTATAGACTTCATGAAGGCCTCCGATAAGGTTCTACATCAAAGACTTATGAAGAAGTTGTCAGCATGTGGTATCGGGTATAGCATATATATATATATATATATAATTTTTTTCAGCAACAAAACACAAAAGTCAATGTTAAGTGATCAGCGTCCAAAGAATAGCGTGTTACGAGCGCGCCTTATATGGCATTCCAGATCATGTGTATGCGCCAACATATTTATTTGTTGATGATACAAAGATATTCAAGGATCTCAAATTTTGAAGACGCCATGAAGTTGCAAGAGTACTTAGATATACTGCACAAATGGTCAGATACTTGGCTGCTGAAGTTCCACCCCCCCCCCCCCCCCCCCAAAAGTACAAAATGATGACAATTACCAGATGGAAATGTCCCAATGAAGAGTATAAGTGCCATTTATACAGTCAACACGGCGAAGGAGTAGATTCGGAACACTCGGAGGGCGAAAAAACATTGGTGTGTTAGTTGACAACCATCTCAACGTCGGGAACCATATTAAACAGCAGGTGAACAAAGCTAACAATATCGTGGGCATTATTAGAAGAACATACGGCTATTTGGATGAGGATCATTTTAGATATTTATTCCAGGCACTAGTCAGAC